CAAATAAGACACCTAATATAAAAATACTTTTGTGTGTAAATAGCATCAATTTGGGGCCAGCCCTATAGCATAGTAGTTAAGTACTGTGCAGAGGAAGCTGAAACCCACATGGCTGACTGATTTGAATCCCAGCTGGTGGTAACACAAAGGATGCAGTGTGCATGTGCCTAAGCTCCTGTTAGGATGGAGGAATTGAGGGAAAAAACAGCTGCAGTGTGACTAGGCCCTCTTTGGGGGCATGCATATACACAGTCTCTCTCTGGTGTGTTCTTTTGTGTGTGTACACCTTCTAATGTGTCACAAAACAATAAATAGGTAAAAAGAATTCTAAAAAGTTAGATCTTTCTGGAACTTAAAATAGCCTCAATTTGCACCAAAATTAACCTAAAGCTACTCAGTTTACAACAGAAAAAAAAAAAAAAAAAAAAAAAACCAGGTCTTGGAACCACCAGTTAGTAAATGGCTATGTTGCTGAACTCCCATGTAGTCGACTGTGGTTTGAGCTCCAGACCCGGTGGCTTAAATTCACACCAAGCATGTGTGCATGTGTGCCCAAGATCCCGAGAGGAGAATGGAGGAGAAGGGATTGCAGTGTGGCCATCCCCCCTGGGGGGGTGATTTCTCGCTTTCTGTCTCTCTCTGTCTTTCTGGTGAGCGCATGCGCCTTATAGCAAAAAAAACCAAAAACAAAAAACCTCTACAAAAAAAAAGAAAAGGAGATCTGAACTCAGTTTCAGAGAATTAAATGTGAGAATTTAACCCTAATTGTCATAGGAAGGTAGCATTTTATATATTATTCATATTCATATATTATTCATATATTTATATGTTTTTAATAAGTTGTAAATATTTTTATTTAGTGTTTCATACTAATAAAAATACCGAAAGACTTAAATAATTTTGTATAAAATTTTAGAATAATTTAATTGATATAAATTGCAGGTTTTTTAAAATTCTGACTATATGCAAACTAGGCTAAACTCAGTTTTAAACCTTTTAGCTACCAATGCCTGATTTAATACTACTTTTAAATTTTTATTTTCTTATTTTAAGTCCTTAGCTAACTGAAAGAAAGGGGAATCTCTAATCGCTAGCAGGAGTAAACAAAGCCAGATGAAAAGGTTTTGAGCTGATACAGTGGAATTTGGGAAAATGGGGCAGGGGTGTTGGAATATAGTGGTTTATTGGACCTGGTACTTGCTTAGGATCTGTGTTCTAATACTTAGACAGGGACAGAGATTAGGTTTCAGCCATGTATATTGTGGGTAGTTGGAATTCAGACCTTGTATAAAATTGAAACCTCTGAAGTATAATACTTTTGGTGAAGGATGGACTGTAAAAACTCTGTTCACTGGCCAAGGGAAACATAAAAGAAACTTATCTGTCTAAAGGACAAAATAAGGGGGTGAGAAACTTAAACATTTACCTCATTAGGTGATGAGGTTTGCAATCCAAATTTACACTATGTATATGGTTTTGTAATCCCCAAGATAAGCTAATGTAATATCTAGTTCTAAAAAGGTAGTTAGATAAATAATGTTCAGAACCTTCTACTTTGTTCTTTTGAGCAAGTCTTGAATACAGGTAATAAAGGCATATATTTTCTAGGCAAGAAATTGGAAGAGTCTTCTCTGGGGAATCCCAGCTGGAGAGAAAAACTTATAGATGCTGGTATCAGGGTTTTTCCAAGGAAACTACCTGATCATGTGAATCACCCACCTGTGGAGCTTTCAGTGTGCTTTTGAAGTAGAGCAGCTAGCCAAGGATTCCCAGATATTTAAAGAAAACATCTAATGTGCACAGCAGAGACCAGAATTACTATTCAGGAGAAAGAAGGCAACACAGTGAAGACAGTGACTACAAAAGGAAAAGCATAAAAAGCAAAAAACAAACAAGGAAAACATTCAAAAACTTAACCCATATTTATGAAAGAAGGGAATAGAGACCATATTACATTCATGAAGTAAGAGTAAGTTCATGGATTATTAAAAATGGAACATATAAAGAACAAAAAGAACTTTATGGTAGCAGAAGGGAAAAACCCAATAGAATGAGAAAGAAAGCTGAAGCAGTCTCAGAAAGTAGCCAAAGGACAGCTTGAAAATCTGAATAAAATTAGACGTCTCACCTAATAGTTTATTTTAAAAAATAATAATGATATTAGAAAAGAGAAAACATAAAAAATGGACAAAAATAAGCCAAGAACATTTCCCCAGAACTCAAATACATGAATTCCCACATAGAAAAGATTTCTGAGGTACCCAGTATAGTGGATCCATATCAAAGCATTTCTTTATGAAATCTCAAAACACTCAGGAGAGAGAAAATTCTACCAGCTGTCAGAGAGAAAAATCAAAACAAATAAATATGACTATGGTAAATAGATTTTTAGTCATGTAGACTCAAGAAATTATCCCCTACAAACCTTTTAGGAAGCTACTGCCAAGTATCTTTTAGCAAAATGAGGAAGTGAACCAAGAAAGAGGAAGGTGTGAATCTAGGAAATAGATCTAAATCAAGAGAGTGGTGAAAGGAACTCCTAGGATAGCAGTTGTACATTAAGACTGGTTGGTAACAGATATGTATTTCAACAGGTTAGAAGCCTTTGAATGAGATTTATTCAAGAAAATAGCATTGATAGAATTTCTAATGTGTTAGTTAGCCGTGGGGAGATTTAAAGAACTTGAGAAAATGGTTCAAAGGGTTGAATTTAGAAATAAGTACATTGAACACCTAAGTAAATTGTGTGTGTGGGTTATATATTTATATTCATATTTATATTCATATTCATATTTATAATTATATTTATATCTACTTATAATTATTATATATATAAAAATAAACTTGGGGATAAGAAACAAGTATGTGGGAAAAGAAATGTATATTATATGGCTCAGATGTGAATAGCTTTTACAAAGTCATAGTAATTTGAATTAAATAAGGAATTTTGATGATATTCCTGGCACACTTGGCAGAAGCAACATCAAACCACTTTGGAGAAACACTTTCACATACCAGGCTATGTTGATGTCCCACCATAAAAGTAAAAACAAACAATAAAACCAACCAACTAAACAAAAAACAC